AAAAGAACAAACTGCTGATAACAACACGGATGAATCTCAAAAATGTCATGCTAAAAATAAAACATTCTAGCTGAAAGAAACCAATATAAATGCAAACTATTAATATAATTAGGTTTCTATCTGAATTGACATCTTATTTCAAAGTTACATATCCATTGGTCCTGGAGCAAACCAACATTCATAGACTCAAGCAACATTTCTAGTTGAAATTGCCATACCTTCTCCTAAAAAGTGATTCCTTTCTCTAATCCCTTGATTCTCTGAATGGGAGTTATAGTTTGGATAATTAGTTTCATAAATAATGACCTCACTGCCTTGTAGTCTCTCCTTCACCACATTCAAATCTGAGAATGTTACTTTTTCTCGTCTCTGTAAACCTTTTCTCACAAGAGCCGGTAGAGTGGGTAGGATGCTTCTTTGAATTCCTGACAGTCCTTCACCCACGTGGATGACAGGAAACTCAGGAGGCAAGTGTCTTATTAGTCTTGTTAACCATTCTGCGTTCTGTGCCTGATACATAGTAGGTACTCAATAAATATTTGATAGTGGATGAAGGAGAAGTATGAGTTAATGACCTCACATGTAACTCATTTTTAATGAATAAAAGGTTTAGGATATTATATGCAAAAATGCTTAATAAATCATGAAACACCATATGAATATTAAAAAAATCATTACTACAAGACATTCATTAATAAATGGTTTCTTCTCCTCTCCTTCCAGCTCCTTCACTGTATATTCATTCAACATATATTTATTATGCACCTGCTTTGTGCCTCAAATTGGTCTAGACCACAGGGATACAGCAGAGAACAAAACAAACAAAAACCCATGTTCTAATAGACCTGCCATCCTAGTGAAGGAAGATAAACAATAAATATTGTAAAAACAAATAGCTTATGAGGTGATAATGCATACTTAAGTATTTATGAAAGAAAAATGTCTAGAATTTATTTTTTTAATTTATTTAGAGAGAGGAAGAGAGAAACATCAATTTGTTGTTCCACTCGTACATTCATTGGTTGATTCTTGTCTGTGCTTTGATCTGGGATAAAATTAACAACCTTAGTGTATTGGAACAACCTTAGTCTAACCAATGAATGAGCTAACTAGGCAGGGCCGTAAGACTTACTTTAAAATACACCTGGTGTCAGGTGGGTACTAGATTTATCGGGGGATCACTTTGTAAGCTATATAAATGTGGGTTGTACAGGGAAGGAAGAAAAGGTGGTAGAAGTGGAAAGAGGATTTTTTTTTAATATGGGAGAAATAACACTTTATATGCTAGGAGAATGAAAGAAAACACATCATTGGCTACATGGCAGGAGAGAAGTTGATAATCTCTATAAAGACACAGAGCTAAAACACACCTGCAGGACTGATGAATCACCACAAAGAATTTATAAAGCAAAATATTTATAGAGAAAAAATAAAGATGCAAAGGAGACTCCACCTTTTCCAGAATTTCTTTTATACCTCTTTTTAAAATCAATTACCCCAAAGTTGAATGGATTTCAAGGTTAAGTTCCAGTAACCTAACGTAAGTCAGATCATCCTGATTTGAATGTTAGTCAAAGGACATGTATAGCAGTAACCTGACCTGGGGCATGCAGAGATATACCCAGGGGGACAAGTCCTCCTCTTTCTCATGGAACTATCTTCTAAAATGATAATTTTGGAACTGGAGGCGACTTTAGAAATTAGCTTACTTTCATTCTTCCTTTTATGAATCAGGAAACTGAGGCCCATAACTGACATGAGTAGACAGACACATAGCTTGCTTTGAACCTTTAGGTTGGCCACTTAACAGATACAGAATGACATGGATACTGTGGAGTGTTGAAGCAGATACATTAGAGGAACATTTATTAATGTAAATGTTCTGTTCCATTTAAGTTCATTTCCAAACATCAAGCAGCCTCCTAAGAATGAAAATCTTTCCCAGCTGCATTAGACATTTTTCTTAGATCTGTCTTTTGTACCAGGGGAAAAACACAACACTTGTAAATTGCTCTAAAAGAAACATTACTTAACATCCCTTAAGTGTCTCCTGGCAGTGATAGCCTTCCGTTTAGTGGAAAAGAACTTCAGTACAAAGAATTTGCCAGAACAACTGGAGGGAATACATACGGCCATCTTTCCAAATGATTTTCCTTCTTTTCAGTAAAAATGGTTGGCAATGCAACATATTCTGGAGTTCTAAGATGTCTAGTTTGGCATTCTGTTTATGAGCTGGTCAGAAAAGTAAGGCTAGGGCAACTCATTCACACACAAATGCAAAACCAAGAGGGCTTACCCCAGTCATATTTCAACTGCCATAAAATAAAGTTTTCTGGAGATCTTAATACTATTAACTACTCCAAAAAATTCCTTTCTCCGAGTTTCATGTTTTACTGATCAACTTCTTATTCTGATTAACCTCTTAGACTGATTCTTAACTGTTTGTCTCAGGGATCAGATTCTATCTCCTAGTTCCACTAGAACCTCCTCTCTCAAGTTGGTGCTTCTACTCACCATCTTTCACTCATACTTGGATTTGCATGCCGGTATCTCATCAGCTATCAACTGACCCCTAAAACTCAGTGTGCTTCAGAGTTAAACTGTTCTCCCAATCCCCTTCCAAAAAACTCCCAGCCCAACCACCTACTTCCGGAAGTTTGCCAGGGACAGTCCAATTTATGTCTGCTGTCCCAGAATTAATCATAGCATACTCTTTCATGCTCAAGAATTTGGATGGCAAACCATGTCATCACTTAAGCTACTTCCATCAAAGGCATTGGAATTTCCATTCCAAGTCAACTAGACTCAAAACCTCTAAACCTAACTTAGCTGCTAAATCCAATGCAGTGAAATTTTCTTTTAGAATGCCCCTCAAATCTCATTTTTACATTTCCAGTAACACTCACTAGGCCCTCACATCGGGACCGCTAGTAACTCATACTCCCTGGCACCTCTCTCTGCCTAGGCTCTCAAAATCTTCATTCATTCAATATATACTTGAGTGCTCGCATGCCCCTCACCGTCCCAGGCACTGGGGCTACAATGATGCATGGCCGATGACCATGTAAAAAACACTTAAATGGCAACGTAAGACAGCCAGATAGTGATTCAGGGAGAAGTCTTAAAGTGTCTTGTGATAAAATGGCAAATGGTTTTTCTAAAGCACCATGAGAAGCAGAAACTGGAACAGATACTTGTACACCAAAGTTCATTACAGTATTATTCACTATGGCGAAAGGCAGAAACAACCCATCAACAGGTGAATGTCTAAACAAAATGCAGTATATCCATGTAAGGATATCCATGTTTACTCAGCCATAAACAAGGAATGAAGTTCTCATATATGCTACAACATGGAGGAACACTTAAAACACATTAAACTAAGCAAATGCCAGTCACAAGAGGACAAATAATTGTATGATTCTCCCTATATGATGAAATATCTAGAGATCTAGAGACAAAGTTGACTACAGGTTACCAGGGGCTGAGGGACAGAGGGAATGGACAGCAATCTTCTGATCTTCTTGCCTGAATGTGTTATGGGTACAGTTTGGGGTGATGAAAAAGTTTTGAAATTAGATAACGGTGATGATTGTACATTATGAATGTAATTAATGTCAATAAACTGTTAAGATGGCCAAAATGGAAAATTTTGTTATAAAAATTAATAGGCTAAAAACCATTTAAGTGTACACTTTGTGTGTGAATTATATGGTACATGGAGTATATCTTAAAAAAATATTTTTTTAAAAAAAGTACTGACTTGGCTGGGTAATCAGTTGGTTATAGCATCTTCCTGATATGCTACAGTTGTCAGTTCGATCCCCAGTCAGGGCGTATATAAGAATCAGCCAGTGAACGAATGCATAAATAAGTGGAACAACAAATGGACTTTTCTCACTCTTCTTCTCTAAAAAGTAATCAATAAAAAAATTTTTAAAAAGCACTTGAGAGGCACAGAAACTGTGGAATTGGAATGGGGCAGAGGAAGCGATAGAAGTGATAGGGGAAGCATACAGTGCTCATAGCGCTGGGTAAAGGCAGAATGGTGCCTGAGTGTGCACAATTTGTCAAGCCCTCTGTGCTGCTAATAAAATATAGTTTAAACATCTAAGCCTGACCCTGGCTCTTAAAAGTGTGGGGCATTACATCCTGTTAGGAAAGGGTCTTCCCCATCAGATCCTTTGCCCTAAGGTTTCCTTCATACCGGGCTTAATCACAGCCCACAGCTGGCTCAATTTACCCATTTCCCACGTAGCCTGATTTGGCTGTCTTGTTCTGACGAGCTCAGTCGGTTCACGTGCCATCTTTTCTAAATCTTTTCCAACCGGTCTCAACAGTAACAGCCCCTTTCTCTGGGCTTTTACAGCTCTGGGCAGTCCATCTTTCCATGTTTCTCAGTTTATAACTTGATGGTCACATTTCTCATCAGACAGTTAAGGTCCTGGACAGCAGAGTTCACATTAACATTTCTTGAACATCCTTTCAACAGCTGGCACAGCAGAAGGAACAGAGCAATCTTCTCATCTTCTTGCCTGAATGTTACTAAAAGCAGCAATGTAGCAAAGTGACCATCTTATAATGGCTGAGAGGGCTGCCTTGAACTCGGAAAGACTTGGCTTAAATTGCCGTTTCTGCCAGCTTCCTGGTGTGTGATAGTATATTATCAATATATTATTTATAATAATTATGTTATTATAGCAAGTTATTATTTAATTTCTGTAGCCCTGAGCTTCTTCACCTGGAAAAGGGGATAGTGCTTGTATCTGCCACAAAGGTTCCTGCAAGGGTTAAACAGGATGAAATATGTGAAGTGTTTAGCACACTGCCAGATCACCTATAAATCAGAGCTGCAGTGTTAAACCAAAGTGGAAAATCATGATTGATGTTTTATCTCAAAATCAACACAGAACAGATGTGGCCCTAACATTACACTCTCCTAATGGAATGGTCTTCCAAACTTCTATAAACAAAGTGAAGGGGGAAACAAACCAAATGGCTTTTGGACACAGTTCCAAACTTTTTATTGAAGGCTTCAGTACTAGCAATTGTGGAGAAAAGAAAAATGCAGAATAAAACAATTCTCATAAATCTTGTTTGAGTATTTCCATGTACTGTAATCTTTCAACACACAACAGTAATTAGTGGCACATTAAAATGGTAAATATAAACAGGATGCTTAAGAAAAAAGAGCAAGGTGATTATTGTCTTCAGTCTGTTTTTGGCTAATAAAATTTTTCTAAAATTTTATTTCCTATCTATAAAAAGTTTTTTCCCCTGGTTATGAAGATAGCACATATCTGAGTGAATTATAGTATGTATGACTTAGACCATGCAAGTCTTTGTAATTGCTCCTGCCTCAAAAAATCACTGTTAACTGTTTGATGTATATGCTCACACAGTTTTTCCTGGAGTACAAACAATTAAGTAGACAAGGATGGAATCAAATTAAATGATTAAATACTATCCTCAATGGTTTGTTTAATTAGGCATCTTTCCATGACAGGACAGACACGGTCTCTCTTTTTTTTTTTTAATGACTGCATATTTCATTTTATGGATGTACCATACCTTACTTATCCAGTTCCCTATTTAAAAATGTCTAAATTATTTCCAGGTGTATGTACGTGTGTATGCATTTTAGCATTCGACAGTGCTTGAACTGGAGTTGCTGGACCAAAAAGAATGAGCATTTAAGAATATGACACAATTTTAAAAAGATAAAGAAAACCCCTAAAACAAATCAGTCTTATTACTACTAAACTGCTTTCCCTAAAAAGTTGTACCTTATAACAATCTTCTTTTAATGTCAGCATTATGTGTTGATTAAAACTGTACTTTTAATACTTCTTGTATAATTTATTTTAAGTCCTTTGGAAACTGTTCTCTTGAGTGCATTAAAAAGAAAACAAAACACCTACATTATACAGGAAATGTTTTAGAAGCCAAGCCTTTGGCTCTTACTGTCTGTGCTCCCCCTGCTGGCACTAATGGAACAGGCACCACAGAGAGCTGGTTTCAATCCCAAAGGTCCTGCCTACAACTTTTAAAAAAGCACTGCTGTTAAAAACAAACCTTTAATCTTGATGGATTGTTGCGGCTTTCTTTCTTCCTTTCTGACATGTCTCAGAGCCTGTAACAGAAGTTCAACCCAAAAACCCATAATCTGATTTGAGATATTATAAAACAAAAACCACCCAACAAACACTTGGTTTCAAGACTTGTCTTTCATACATCTACAGTATACTTTTTTTTAAATCCTCACCCAAGGGCATGCTTATTGATTTTAGAGAGACAGGAAGGAAAGGAGAGAGAAACGATCAGTTGCCTCTTATACACACCCCCATGGGCCACCAAACACATAAGCTAGGTTTGTGCCCTGACTGGGAATTGAACCAGCAACCTTTTGATTTATGGGACGCCACTCCAACCAACTGAGCCACACCAGCCAGGGATACGGAGTACATTTTGACATACTCATACTCTTGAGTGTGTGAAATGTGGTACTTACGTCATAATTAAGATCATCAGTGGACAGATGCTCAAGAGCATTAAACTCGTACATTAAAATTACACATTAACCCATAAACCAAAATGGCAACACTCTAGTTGACCGAGCATCAGGGTAAACTCCAGTTTTATTTAGTGGCAATGGTTGCAAAAGTTTGTGTATATTCTAAAAACCACTGAATTGTACACTTTAAAGGGGTGGATATTATCTCACAAAAATTTTAAACAAATGCCAAAGATAAGCAATAACATTTTCCTGACATAAAATGTTAGAAACTTCTTTATTATTATTTATTAAGCACCAGCTTAATACTGCAGAATATTTCAAATCACCCACTGACAACTTATTATTCCACTCCCCCTCAAATTCTTGATAATGAACTTTTCAAGTAAAGACATGTTCTCTTCTCTCTTCTGTATAAAACTTTATGAAATAAAGGCAAAGAACTGTGTACATCTACATCTTGCTGTAAAATGCAGCCCTCGGCTGTGGAGACAGCGTCTGCCCAGGCTCCCTTTACTGTCCAGGTCCCGAAAGACTCTTGTTCATGAACTGTCTCTTCACAAAGCAAGTCCACCACTAACAAGACAGAATGAACAGTAGCAGTCAAATCACAATGCAAGTTCAAGATTAAGGACAGAATATGAATTTGTGTCAAAGTTTTTTTTAATTAACCTGGCAGGCCTTATGTTATACACACTCCTTGAAAGCACATAAAATTCTTTCCTTCTTTCCTTCCTTCCTCTCTCCCTGCCTCCCTCCTCCCTCCCTCCCTCCTTCCTTCCTTCCTTTCTTTCTGACTTACAGGTTACTTAAAATTACAAGGACAAGACAGATGTCATACATTCAAGCTATCTCAAGCAAAAAAACCTGTCCCATGAGGTTTACAATGCCTTGACATAAGAACAACCAACCATAATTTTTTACTATATGCAATCATTATTCACCGGGATTCAGTGAATTGCTACTATGTACAAGGCACACACTCAAAAGTTTAGCAACACTGCAATGCAGAAACTAAAGGTATTCTTGCAATAAAAGACGTTAGTGTGTTTCATTTAATGGAGGCAATAGCATAAAAAGTGATTTATCAACTAAACAGGCAAGAAAGAGGGTCTTACCTTGCTGGGTTTATCATTCTGAGGGTCAAAGACTTTCTCACAAAGTCTCAGTCCAGTCTCTTGTCTTAGCTGCTGTAAATAGGCCCTCATCACTTCTAAAATAAGGAGAAGGTAGAACAATACAAAAAAATTGTATTTGAGAATGCACCACAACTGTGCTTGTTTTTGATCTGGACACTGACCTTTGCAATATATTTCTATACATTCATACAGGATAAGAAATAGAAATGATAGTCCAAAGGGTTTCATAAATATTTTCATCTTGGTCTAAAGGAATCTCTACATGTCATACTTGTTACCTAGAATCTTTTGTGAGAGTGGCTAGTAAGATAATATATGTGCTAATGATTCCATTCTCAATTATATACCAATCAAGGCAAGAAAAGGAGCAGGGTAAAACATCAAATGGATAAAACTTTGTGTCAGAGAGAGAGAGAGAGAGAGAGAGAGAGAGAGAGAGAGAGAGAGAGAGAGAGAGACACCCTGTTCTTACCATCTTCCTGTTTGTTTGCAGGTTTGGCATAAATTGCATTAAGTGGAAAACCAGGTTCTCCAGGAATGGGAAAATTAGTGATTCCCAGTGTATACATTTCTTTCTCGCCTTGGCTTTTGGAGTTGCACTGAAAAAAATAAAAAAATAAATTATATACACACACATTCTATGAGGAAAAGAATAATAATATCCAATTTGTAATTTTTTAGTCTAAGCTAGTTATGGCTGGGATTATTGTTTTTGATGACCTTTTGTAATCTGGTGAAGCTTGTGGACCCCTTCTCAGAATGTTTTAAGTGAAAAAAATAAAATACATAGAATTATAAAAAACCTAATTACAGTAAAATAGAATAATTATAATATTAAAAAACAAATTTATGATATAGACATACATGCACTTCTTTACTAATACACTAAAAACAAGATCTTGCAGTGGCTGTAATAACTAAATTCTGAAGTAGTAATGAGTGTAAACAAAACTGCAAAAAATCTTCCATTCTAAATGCAACATGAAGTGCTATGATTTCTACTGGAGGAAAAAGTCACAGGTATTGCTAATATAGCTGTGGGTTGTTGTCCACGTTAATAATGAAAGTACTAACTTTCAATTAGAGGTTAGTGAAAAGAAAGACGGAATCTTTTCCCATTCAAGTTCATGGACCCCTGAATTTTATCCTTGGACTCCAAGTTAAGAATCTCTGACCAAAGGCTTAAAAGGAATATTTTGCTCCAGATATCTGCCTTGAGAAAATACATGCAAAGCCTTATCCTCTGATTAGTTAACAACATTGTTAAGTTTAGAGACGTACATTCAGATTTTTCTCTTAAGTCCATGCTCTAAGTCAGAGGAAATATTTTCTACTTGCCCTTAAAGTCTCACCGAGTCCAACTACCTATTAGTAATTTGTTTTCCTGATAGATGATCACCCAAGTTTAATTACCTTTTGGAGTTTCTTTAGACACTCAGAAATGTAGAGCGTTATGTATATCAAGGTTCTATCAGCTTCATTCTACAGGGTGGAAAAACAAAACTTAAAAACAATCCTGAACAAAACATAACAATTACGTGCAATAAATGAATTCAACCTTTGTCTGTGCTTATCAACTGAAAACTGCGAAAAGTGTCATTACTATCGCATCAAAAATCCCCATTGTCCAAACGCAGTCTTCTCCAGCCCCTCGGCGCCTGCGGAAGGCCGTGTGGCTGCTCCTGCAGCCCCCCGCCCCTCGCTCTGCATAGGAAGCGGAGTTCACAAAGCTGCCGGGGAAACGTGAGGTGCACCATATGGTTGGCTAATTTTTAAAAACCCTTTCACTCCAGGATCTCTGCCGAGAACAGAAACATTCATGACTCTAAAAGAGGAAGCAATTATTTCACAGATGACTTGTTTCTGAAGCACTCCAAAAGCCCAACTCTTAACCTAACCAAATGGGAAATGTGGAAAGGCAAATGGGTGTTGATCAAATGTGGCATGTACTTCAGGCCAAATTTTACACAGATTTAGAGTTAAAAAAAACAAAAAACAAAAATAGGCTACATATTTCCCTATATTTAAGATCATTTGATATTCAGGAGAGAATGAAATGTAGCAGGATTATAGTATTTAATTATACCTATTACAAACACAACACCTGGACCATGCATTAGATACTCTAATATGCTGATATCACAGAATGTTTCGATATAATTTGTAGGCCAAGAGTCTACAAATACAAACAGGATTTTAAACCCTGTTTGATTCCAAAAGGTCAAAGTTTGGCAAAAAGTTCCCTATTCTAGAATGTTAACCATAAAACATGTTGACATTTCTTGTAACTTGTTCACAGCAGGAGCTCTGAAACTTTTTTCCATTTCCCCCTCTCCTCCTCCTCCACCACCTTCCACCCAGCCTCACTCCTACCAAGACCTAAGAGAAGGGGAGGATGGGTGCTTGAAGGAAGGATCGGGGTCACTGAAGTTTCTTTATTCTACCATCGCAGGTCCAGGACACAGAAATATATAAAAAAAAATAACATAGCATATAGGATTTTCAGTTTTGGACTAGCATGTAGTAGGTGCTTAATTAATGCTAAATAGCGGGGGGAAAGGACCAGATAATAAATATTTCCGGCTTTGCAGGCTGTACAGTTTTTATCACAATTACTCAACTTGGCTATTGTGTTGTAAAAACCTCCAGAGACAACCTATGAACAAATGTGTATGGCTGTGTTCCAACGAAACTTTATTTACAGAAAGAGGTAGGGGGCCAGATTTGGCCCTCTGGCTGTCGTTTGCCAACCACTGGTGCACACTTTGGAGGAAAAAAATGAGAAATTAATATTGATACAGTGTAACATTAAGTACTGTTCTGGATTTTTAAAAGCATACAATCTCATTTTATTTATTCCTCAGAGCAACCCTTACTGCCAACCTATTTTTCTCATTAGAAAGTTAATTAAATATTAAAAGCTCTGTACTTTACCTTAATTTCATAGTTTTTGAAGAAGACATTGGCCTTGAAGTAATAGATGGCTTCATCCACAATGTCTGTATCTTTTGCTACACAGGATACAAGGGGAGCGGACAGAGAACATTAGTTTAAGGCAAACCATAACATCTATAAAAGCTATAAATAAAAAAAATCTAAGGTTAATGGTCAAGAGTTCTGGAGTTGAATAAACTGAGACTATTGAAATACAACATCTTTAGAAACAATTTCTAGAAAAACAAGAACATGATTTATTCTTATAGTGGGCTGACCAAAAAGTTCATTTGTTTTTTTCCATATAATGGCTCTAGTAGTAAAATCAGTTGTCTTTAACTTCATTTGAAACAGTTTTGTTAGATTGTATTTTGACAGCTGTCCATCAGAATGCATTAAAAAAAAAAAAACTTATCAACCCCTGGCTGGTGTGGCTCAGTGGATTGACTGCAGGAGGCGAACTGAACGGTTGTCGGTTTGATTCCCAGTCAGGACTCGTGCCTGGGTTACAGGCCAGGTCCGCAGTTGGTGGGCATGTGAGAGGCACCCAATTGATACATATTGATATTTGACTCCCTCTCCTTCTCCTTCCCTCCCTCTCTCTCTAAGAATAAATGCCATCTTTAAAAACAAACAAACATCAAAATTGGTGAATTTTTGTAAAGCCATGTTAGTATTAAAGATGGAAGAAGATATGGAACATTTTGGGTGTATTATGCTTTATTATTTCAAGAAAGGTAAAAATGCAACTGAAACCCAAAAGATTTGTGCAGCGTATGGAGAAGGTGCTGTGACTGATTGAACATGTTGTCAAAAGTGGTTTGAGAAGCTTCTTGGTACTATTGACATTTTGACCAAGTAATTCTTTGCTGTGGGGCTGTCTTACTCATTGGAAGATGTTTAGCAGCACCCCTGGCCTCTACCCACTAGAAGTCAATGGTGGGAGACAGCCAATATACTAAAAATATCCAAATCAATAGTGTTATTGGTGAAAATAAAAAATGTGTCTTTTATTTTACGGAAAACATACAGACTTTTTGACCACCAATAACTATTATTTTTATAAAAATTATGCACGTTCATTAGAAAAATTATTTAATACCAAAAATTTCAACTGTCACCTTAATCTCACTTCCCAAAAATAACTATTAACACTTGATGAATATCATTCCAGATATCTCCTAGAGCATTTATAAAAGCTGATTTTTAAATAAACTTTAACAAAGTGATTTTGTAAATATCCAATATAATTTTATTTGAATTTACATACTATAGTGTCAGAGAAAAAAACTCTCAAAAGTCATTTGGGAACCCATTGGGGTTCTCATACATATCTTTCTGTTTATAAAAACTATGACTTCAAATATATTTATACAAGCTGTTCTAGGTGGCTAGAGAATGAAAAAAGCCAGAAATACTGTTGTGACAAAGACAGATCTCATTACACAATTTCTTTGGCAACTTTTGTTTTCCTTTTTTTATTTTAAAAAGGTCACAATCCCAGGGTCTTGGTATCCGGCAGCTGGTTTCAGCAACACTGAGACAGTTATTTGTATTTCTTGACCATGACCGCTATCCCTCTTACACAGCAGAAATGTAAAGTAATCCTGCAGTTTTAATACTCTGTAATTCTGTCACAGGCATCCCTGCTCATTCCTCTGCTAAAGAATTTCAACAGAATTTGAACTCTATACTCGTGTTCCTTGAAATCTATTTTCTTATCTGCAAAAAGGAAACTTCTTCAAAGGATTCACTAGTGGTTACAAAAACCAGCTAGTTCTTTCAAATGTCACCACAGGTGTGTGTGTGATGGGGAGGCTGCAGGATTCAGAACCTAGAAGGGTCTTCGGCACATAAAAGGTGTTCAAAAGATATCCGTTGGAGGCAAATAATTGGATTAATGCCAACAGTTATTTAGCTCCCAGCGTAGGCTTACACTTTTCCATAATTCCAGGTCGGTTCTAATCCAGTCCCGTGGGGAAGAGTAACAGGTCATTCTTTGTCTGTAGAAACCCTCAAAGAATTGTAAAGGTGGTAGTCAGATTTACTCCATGGTCAACTGCACCTTCTGCTATACCATATGATATTCTGCAAAGATCTGAAAAGGGTTCTTCTCAACAAACCTGAGCCAACATTGACTTATTTTTTCTTTGCACTGTAATTCTTTTGCATCATTTTTCTTCCTTTTGGTCTCCCCCCCACCAATCTGTTCTTTTTTCCTCATCTCAGAATCAAATAAAGACTGTGGTGACTCACCAGATTTATTAAGTTTACTGAGCTTTCAACTGGTGTTGAAAACAAAATTAAATTTAAAAAGGTCAAGTCAAACAGTCTGGTAGAGAGATAGAGATGGCCTCAGTACAAAATTGGTAATTAAAACCATGGCCTTGGAAACCATGAATGGAACTCAGTGCAGACCCTTTCTGGATGCAGGGAAACCACATCCAATATGATACAAATTACACTGTTAGCGGAGTATCTCAGAGTGTGTCAGAAGACTCTCAGATAGTGTCTGAAAGGAATAGGGCTTTCTGAACAGTAAAAAATGGCTCTGAAATAAAAAGAGAAAATGAGTACCAAGAAAGAAAACAAACATATAAAATTCAGAATTAGTAATGTTATATAGGATGCTCAAAATTTAAGGTGATAGCATTGCTAAAAGTGAGGCTCCTGCCCTGGCCGTGTGGCTCAGTTCATTGGAGCATCATCCCATACGCCAAAAGGTTGTGTGTTCGATCTCTGATCAGGAAGCATACAAGACGCAACCAATCGATGTTTCTCTCTCAGATTAATGTTTTTCTCCCTCTCCCCTCCTCACTAATAATGAAAAAAGTTGTTGGGTAAGGATTAAAAAAATTTTTTTAAATGAAGCTCCTGAAGTAGATTTAGATGGGCAAGAGGTTAAAATGTTTTGATTTTTTCCAGCTTGATAACAGAGAAGGGGTGCGGACATGGCATCCTAAAGAAGTAGTAGCATTAGTTTGTAAGAACTGACAGTGATGACAGAAACAGTGTAATGATTTTTTTAAAAATATTTTATTTATTTATTTTTAGAGAAAGGGGAAGAGAGGAGGAAAGAGAGGGAGAGAAACATCAATGTGCGAGAGGAACATCAACTGATTGCCTCTCGGAAGCCCCCAACTGGGGACCGGGCCCGCAGCCCTTAGGAGAATGGTGCCAGCGACCTTTTGGTTTGTGGGACGACGCTCAAACCACTGGGCCACACCAATCAGGGCGTGTCAAGCACACTTTCTCTCACCCCTCAACAAAATATCCTGGAGAAATTAACAGCAATAATTGTTTCCTATTAGATGCCACATATACCCAGGATCTTGAAAGGTCTAAAAAGCAGTACCCACCAAGCAAATTGAAAATACAAGAGCAACCAGAAACAGAAGACTGAGCTACAAATTTCCCTGACTTGATAATGTCGGAGGGCGGCTAGATGTTTTCATACCAAAATCCGAAAATAAGGGAAAGGGATTTCAACTTACTCTCTCTAGGCGCAGGTCCTTTGAACTGACTTCTGATAGGCAACAGTGCCATGTTTCCAATGAGTTTGGTGTCGGGGTCCATGAGAGAAGAGTGGTAAGCCTGGCGAGCCAGACGAGGATACCGAAGCAGGAAAGGACAAGTGTCAGTGGGGCAGACAGGTCCATTTCTCCAAAGGAATAAAAGAGGAACCCACCCAAGATTAACTAGGGGACATGGTAAAAGGGATGGTGACCGCAAGCGATGGGTGGACTGGCTCTTATGGGTTCATGGCAACCTACTTTTAAATTTTTAGGAATTTAAAAAACTTTTGAGCCAAGCTGGTTGTTCACACAACCATTATTAAAAATTCAACTATATAAATTTGCAATTATATTAAAAACAAAAGTAGTAAAGACTCAAAATTCATTATTCCTTTTCAAAAAATTATTTTACTATCGTCTATGATCTTAAGGTTATGTCTTTTGTATTTTTAAGGCAGAAATACTATATAACGGGGTGCTACTGTGCCTCTCTTCCATGTTCACTGATGTCACACTGGTAACTGATGGAAGTACTGACACTACAGAAATAGGCAACCACTATGGAAACCGGGGGTACCCACCCATCAGCTGTTGTTAAGCCAGAACCCAAGCACTGGCTGTTTATTCAGTTCTGCCACTTCCCGTCTTTGTATCTTTGACCAAGGCAACACTCCTCTTATCTTGTTTCCAAATTTGTACATTGAGGAGATATACACTGCTTTCAGTGGGTTGGTGCGAGTTAAAGGACGGAGGTGGGGTAGGAATCACATATTTGAAATCAATTTGTGTATGATCCCCAGTTCTGCCTTTTACAAAATGTCTGGCTTTTTGTAAGACAAGTGGGCCCCACTCACATATTCATTCATTCATCAAACGATTACTAAGCCCCTAAGTGCAAGGCATGGTGATCTAAAGGTATGCAAGGCCAGCATGGTCTTCATCCTTGAAGAACTTTCTGACTAATGGAGAAGACAGACATTACCTGAGTAACTGCAAGGGAAATCCAGGGTGCTCTATGTCCAACTGGAATGAGCACAGGGTTATAGCGTCATTGGGTCGATGTGAGGATTAAATGGGAAAATTTATATAAAGCATGTAGCTCAGGGCCTGCCTGGCACACATCAGGTGTCAAATGATAGCTACGATATTCATAATATATGTCTCTATAATCACGGTTTGCGCCTTTTCTCACCGGTATGCTTCATCTTAAGCAGCCTCCACCCTCCCCTTCACCAGCTACTGTCCAGTTCCCCACTTCCTTCCTTCAGAGCCTGTCACTATCAGAAACGATCTTTTATTTTATTTTATTTACATTTACATGTTTATTGTCTGCCTCCCCATTAGAACGTAAACTCCTTAAGCGCAGGGATTTGCTGGCCGTATTCACTGCTCTTTCACTGCTTAGCACACAGTAGGTGCTCAGTAATGTTTGTTGTTTGAATAAGCGCATGTTGTTGAATCTCCTTTATCCTATTCTGCAAAATGGAGACCGACCGTGATGGCGATAAATCTACCCCACAGACTGGCTGTCGGAAATTAAGAGAAAGCAGACAACCACCAATTTTTACTCCTACTCTGATGCTCAATAAAAAAATTATTTGGAAACCAGGCGCAGACCTTGAGTCTGTCCTGGGGGCCCTACACCCAGCGGCTCAGGGGTGGCCGCCACTGAGGGGGTGACAGGGGAGGAAGTGGGGTCTCACAGATGACAAGAAGCGGAAGGGGCCCGTCCCCTGGGGCGGTGGAGGAAGTGGGACTTCAGGAAAAAGGAGAAGCCGGACCCTACACTCGAAAAATGGAAACTAAAAGGCGCGGCTCTTAGCTTCTCAGCTCTACTGAGGAGAAGGGGATGGAGCTGGGGTCAGAGGGAGCAGAAAGGGCGAAGACGGGGTCGCAACTGTAGAGAAGGGGCCGGAAGGGCTGAGACAGCCTCCCCTGCACGCCCACTCTATCCTACTCTGCAGCTCCCCCCTCCCCCGGGGCCGGCACCCCCAGGCCGCTCCAATCCTAAGGAACCGGCCCCCGCCCCTCTTCCCTTCTCTGGACCTCGCTTCCTCTCTGACCACCCTAGCCCGCCTCTCTCAGCGCACGCACGATTTCTCGCCGCTCCCCCCCAGTTCTAGCCGTCACACCGCACCCCTGACTCGAAACCCTTACCGGCATCTTTGCAGCCCCCGAGTTTCAACCCAGCTGAGGAGGATCGGGTTAGAGCGAAGCGCTTCCGGTCTGGCGGCTTGGGCCGGGCAGGAGGAAGTAAGCGGAGGAGGGCGAGGGGGAAGATGAGCGCTTCCGGCCTTGCAGTGAGGCCACTGGCTGCTGCGGCTGCGCAAACCGAAGGGGCGCCAGGGGGCGCGCCAGCACTAGCTAGGGGCTGAGTGTCGCGCAGGCGCGAGATGTGCAGCTGGCCGTGGATCTTGGGAGTTGTGAAACCCCCTGACGCTTTCCCGGGGTCACACTACTTTAAATTCAGCCACGCTCCATCCCCCTGCCTTATCCCTTCCTGCTCTCTTACGATTTTTCACTTAGTTTACTTTGGATGTTTATCTCCCATCCATGTGAATGTCAGTAAGACAGGGATTTTGTCCGTTTTGTTCACTGGTGTCCCCGTCTAAAACAGCGATGGTACGTAGTAAGCTTCAATACATATTTTCTAAGTGAATGAGTGAACCCAATCCACTGGTTTTTAAAATGGGGAAAGGGGGGCACAGTGAGAAGGGATTTGTGCATTACTCTGTACTACAGTTCTTTGTTAATGGTTGAGAAAACGGACTCTAGATTTGATTCCAGCTCCAACACTTATTGGCTGTGTAACTTGGGGCTAGTACATGAACCTCTCTTTACATCAATTTCCTCACATGAAAATGGAGTTGACAGTACTTAGTGCAGTCTTGTGAGGATGAGTTCATGTAACATGCTTAGAATTTACATGCCTAGAACATCCTAAAGGCTCAGGAACTTTTAACCTAATACTAGAAAGTGCGTCATGTTGAAAGCCAAGTTCATTGCTGCTTTGGGCCATTTCTTCTGCCAGTCCTTTTGACTGGAGTCACCATGTTCCACATCTGATTTCTCATTTAGGTTTCTTCCCAAATAAGACCTTCTGGGAGGAGCCTTCATTTGACAATGAGCCCAAAATAGCCTGCATTACTGTTTCTTCTTCCCATTCCTTTATCAGAGGCTTCCTTGTTTATGGTTAGTCTCAAGGGCCCAGCAGGTCAGCTCCATGACAATACGGTTTTGTCTGCCCAGCAGTGCTCCCATTTGATCCCCAGTGCCTGACACCCACCAGTAAATTGAACCATGTCAAGCTCTCCTACTTGGAAAAACTTACCATTCAAAAATTTGCCCTGGCTGAGTATTTCAAATTCTGAGTAATGAAACATTAGTGCTGTTTATTTTATTTATATATACATATTTTAAAGCACAGTCACTTTTCATTTTTAATTATACAAACAATACATTTTCAATGTAGGAAAACTGAAAGACAATAAATAATGGTCTTATTTATATCCTTACAGATTTTCATCTATGGACACACATATGTATATTTTGTTACAATAATTCCTGCCCCTCGAAAAAAAACCCTTCGAATATAACAAAAACCAAATAGAAAAAATAAAGGTAGACTGGTCTTAACTGTACCACAGATACTAATTTACATTATATACAAATCTATATGCATTCATTTCAACTTTTAAAATCTAAATCGATGCTCTCTAAAAATATAACAATAAAAGACTCCATTTAAAAAAAAAAAGACTCCACTTTAAACAGCAAGTTTCAGAACTAAGAACTTGATTCAGGTGTGCTGCTGATAAAGATCCAAGTATTATTTTTTTCATCAAAATAAACAGCTTTCTAGTATTACATCCTTTGAGAAAATGTTTTGCTGGTTCGGCCACAAATTCTTCACATACATAGTTACTTTTTAATAAACTTTTTATTCATTCTGGTGTTCCTGAAAATAGTCATCAAACATAGAAGACGACTCATCTTCATGTTCCTGACACAAAGGAAACAAAAAATACATTGATTTCCCTCAGTTAGACCTAGTGTGTGTTTATGTATTTTTCAGGTAATTCTCTGCAAGAAGCTAACGCCCCAGCACCAGCTCCAGGTGGTGCTCATAGGTAATAGTTAACAGTAATAGAAGGCATGACTGAAAGAGTATCTCCAGATATGTGATAAATGAGAAGGCTTATATCTCATTAGAAGAATTTCATACATGAGCTTACACTCATGCTGATTCTTAACTAATTTGCTGTGATAGTGCCCCACTGGACAACTATCGTTAGTCTTTTCACTGACATATGTGAGGGCAGCCCAAGTTCAATTGGATTTCACCTCCTCTTTGTATCCTCCCCAAGCTCTGAGTACAAAGAGACATAATTCAATAACATTCCCTCGATAAAAGACAGAGTCAAACTGGTATTGCTCTTTGAGCTCAGGTGTCAATTTCAGAGGTCACCCAGAAAAGCTCAGGGTATTGCCAGCACTAGGACAAAACTTAATTTGAATCCCTAGGATTATGCAGAAGACCAAAATATGTTGGCCAACATTTTTACCAAAAGCCAATAAATACCTTAAAACAAATTACCTTTGGTTCTTTAAATTCCAAGTCTTCTCCATACTGAATGGCAAAATCAATATGCTGTAACACAATGTTCATGCTTTCTTCATCTGACTGATCGTAAGGCAAAAATCGAACCATGCTATAGTCGTCAACCTATAAGTTGGGGATTTCAGAAAGGGTAATTCTGAAATTATACACAACATTTAATTTTCAACTTACATTTCAGTTTTATAACCATTTGTAATGATTAAACCATTTGTGGTGGGGAGGTAGTAATAGAGACACAACGGAAACTCAATATTCATTTTTCTGATCTGACTTACTAGAACACTCAACTTACTCCTTAACCAGATACTGTTTCATAGGCATTTCTCTGAATTCCACAACCACTGGAAATTTCAACAGGGCACAGGCAGTTCTGAATGCCCAAAATGGCTTGGAATAATGGACATGTCAGTTACTTTACTGGCTATTGCCAATGACTGCTTTTAAAGTAAACTGCTAACTAGCCAGCCCACAAGCTCTCACCGCTATCTCCCCTTTGCAAGGAAATAGGGTTGGACTGTGCTCCCATCATGGTGGTTCCTGACTGGACACTGGTGAACACCTGACCGGATCATTAAAAAAAAAATCACAAAACAAGCTTACCAGTCCGCATATAGCTTTAGTCAATTTTTTGAATTTTTTGCTTCTGAAGTCACTTGTAGAATCATCTAATAAAGAATACATGTCTGGATCTAGAAACCTTTAAAAGTGAGAAAGAGATTGATGAATAAAAGGAATAAATCAGGAACCTAGATTTACAGATGCACAGAACCTCACACATAAATGAAGCTTAGGAGGTTCATCTCTGCAATTCAAATCTGATGATAATGAAAGATAGGAACTTACTTCTCAATTTCCTTTTTAGCTTTCTTACTCAGCAGGTCCATTTTCGTCATGATGTTAATTTGTGGAATTTCTAAAGAGATCATAGCGCTCAGGGCTGCCAAGATGCCAGAAATAAACTAAAAGAGAAAACAGGAAAGGGAAGATGAAATCAACTAGTGCCAACAAAGTCCCCTGGTCTCTGCATGAAAGAGAGGTTTCTGCTCCTCATGGAGCAAAACTGGCTTAAATGAAAGAAACGCTAATCCTAAAGAAAAGATAGTCCAACAATCAAATGGCTGACCCTTGGTTTCCAAAGGTGACAAGAAAAAAATATGTAAACTTAATCTACGGTGACCACAAATATCAATTTAGATGATGTTTTAACCTTCTTTCCATTGAAAATTCCTTAAGTTACTAATGAGAAATAAAGTTTTAGATAGTTCATAGCCCTGACCAGGTAGCTCAGTTGGTTAAAGCACTGCCCCAATGTGCCAAGGTTGTGGGTTTGATGCCTGGTCAGGGAACATACAAGGATCAACCAATGAAGGCATAAATATGTGGAGCAACAAATTGATGTTTTCCTCTCTCTCCTTTTTCTCTAAAAATCAATAAATTTTAAAAGATTAGATAATTCATAAACTAGACAAATGATCCTCAGAAAATTAAAAATAGACATATATAATATGCATCTGCCTCATTTTTCTTGGTAAGTAGTTCTCCAAAATCTATATACCATAATTTACCATTTCAATTAAAATTACATTATACTAATTTAATAATAAGGGATACTATCTTACTCTAGAGTTCAGTTTGTGAAATGTCTAGAATTGTACAATGATTAAAGGAGACTGTCACCTGCTTGTACCCATGACTAAAATATCAACAACAGATTTATACTCAAACCTTGAACGACTCCACCATAAACTGGGAATCAACCAGAAAAACTCCACAGACTCGGAACTCCCACTGTTCTAGCTGCTGGACCAGTTGTTTCATCACAGGCAGGTGCGTATACAACTCAATCTGACCTACGTAAAAATCATTATGAGACTATTACAATCAGGAAATACATTAAATCATCACAGTACAGGGAAAAAATTTTCCCATAAAACAATTAAAAAAATATATATATATTCAATTTTAAGGGGTCTTACAGCCTCTGGGCACAATCACAAGATCATAAGGTTCATCACACTTTAGCTTTTGCCCATGAAAAGAGAGTGCTTCAAAGGTGTGTGTAGTTCGGGAACACTGATCAAGCCGTACACTTGATGTCTGTACTTTTCTGTGGGTGGATGTAAGTTCAGTTAAAAGAAAGAGGGCCCTAACTGGTGTGGCTCAGTGGGTTGGACATTGTTCTGCAAAGCAACAGGTTGCCAGTTGGATTCCCAGTCAGAGCACATGCCTGGGTTGTGGGCCAGGCCTCTGGCTGAGGGTGTGCAAGAGGCAACCGATCAATGTTTCTCTCACACATAGATTGTCTCTTTCTCCCTCCTTTCCCCTCTCTCTAAAAATAAATAAATAACATCTAAATAAATCAATAAAAGCAAAAGGAAAGAGTGAGAACCACAAATGACCAAAGCTAGGTTAAGCTCAAGCCTAAAACTCACCATTTGGCTTAAGAAGTCATGTGTGATTATCTGTCCCCTACCAGCCTCACTTCACGAGGTTTCCCTTTGTGCACTGTGTGCTTCAGCCACACTGGCCTTTTTGGTGCCTCAAACCCACATCTTCTGTCCTGCCCTGAGGCCTGCAACATGCTGTGACTTCTGCCTGGACCACAGTCCCCTCACCTTCACCCTACAGTCCAGCTTAGAGGCCACCAGACCAGAGGCCTCCCCTAACCTCCCTGCTGCGTGATCATCTCTCCACTCCTGCGGGGCACCTGTCACAAATGAATATTAAATAATCATTTTGGTGACTTTTGTTTATACTGTCTAGCACTGATGCTTGACTGTGAGCTCCTCGAGGGCAGAGACACTGGCTGCCTGGCTCTCTATGGTATTCCCAGTGTACAAAGTTAAGCACTTGGTAGCTCAATGAATGAACTAGGGCCAATGAATACAAGCTCTGCACCTTACTGCAGTGTGTATAGTTCAGAGCTCACTCCACTTTCTCCCACTGAGGAGAGAACCAGCATGCCGTCAAGGAAAATGACACCTACCTGGTGTCAAATTTCTGACCTACCTGGACAGTCAAAAAGGATGTAGTCGTCCTCTACATGGCCAAGACAGCTCTCTAGCCAGTCAAAATTATTGGCAAAGTACTCCATGCAAAATACCAATCCCCCATTGGGACCAAACCGCAGGGAATCGTCCTCCATCACATCATCCACTTCGATCAGTTCCCGGATGTCTGAAAAAGACAGGCAGGACCCAGAATTGAAGAGTGTCCATTTGAAAACTGTTATCCTCACCAGTGATAAATAACAATTATTGAAAAACTCACACATGTGACATTATTTCTGTACACAGCTATTCATTATTGTAGTGTCTGTGGGGACTAATTAAGTTATCATACAGCCAGACAACAGAATCTTAAGCAGCCATAAAAAGGAAAAGTTCTTTAAGTATTCGATCATGACACAATCTCCCAGGTGCACTGTTAAGTGAAAAGCATTAGAACTCTGGAAGAATGTCATTGTTTGTGTTTAAAAAAAAAAACAGAGACTCACAGTATATACATAATAATATACATTTTGATTTTATATGCATAGGTTCTCTGTGGAAAAACACCCCAGAGACTGGCAACTGGCTACGTTTGATTACAAGAAAAATTGTATCGCTCTTCTAAACAGAAAACCAGTTGTATTTATCCTAACATAAAGGTAACCATAAAGTTGAATAAAACTTTATAACTTTTTGTTCTAGCGAAATATAATTGCCTGTCAACACTTAGGCAGCTCATTCAGAGAATGATCAGCAATAAACCTGACTCACTGCAGCAGCACTAAGTATGAGAGGCACAGAAGGGGAGGGTGGAGGAGGAAGGCACTTCATACATGAGTGACCGAGAAAGGATACACACATCAACATAAGAGAATGTCATCAAGTGACATTTAAACTCATGCTGCTCACCATGAAACCAGGGGACCAGATGTAATCATTAATTTTTCAGCTTCTGTGTTGAGCGGCCAGCGCCCTGTGCCTCATCACCCCCTTATTTTTTCTGGAGGAGCGGGAAGGCTCTGCTCGGAACTCACCAGCCATAACAGAGTAGTTGAAGTGCTCTGCTGCAGGATCAAGGTTCACAACTTGAACAGACCGATTGAGGGCTTCACAGTGCTGGACCATGGTGGCACAGTAGGTGCTCTGCAATGTCACAAGGCGCAAGGCGTCAGGACAACTGCAATGTATGTTACCTCTTGCGACCCCTGAAGGACTCTCCCCACCCCTCGGGCAGTGTCCAGTAAGCACAAAAGCAGGCCCTCCTTGACCAAGAAGCTGACTGAAAATGGAAAAGGCACTGAGCTGGGAGTCAAGACGTCTGACTGGCTGCAGACCCAGACTGGCTGTGACTCAGGGGTGACTTTGGGGATGTGTTTTCCCCTCTCTGCCCAATTTTTTCATCTCTTTCTGGGCTGACCTCCATGACCAATAAGGCTCCTTACTGCTCTTTCATGCAACAAGCAGAATTTAAACAGAATACTTCTGGTTACATACTGCAGCATCTAACTCATGGAGCCTCCAGAATGACTTGTACCATCCAAACAAAGCTGTAGGCAGGGCGATCAGAGATGGTGCTCTGAGGACGGGTTATCTGAGCAGAGGGATGGGACTGTGCTCGCCAAGTCAGGGGGAAAACATTCTAAGGTGAGAGAACACTGAGGTCAATAAACTGCACAGAGGTGGCTATGGGTTTGCAACTTTTGGATTAGAGAATCCTTTATCACTCATGTAGTTGTGACCACACTATGTTAAAATCTAGGCTACTTGTCTTCTCCCCCACCCTTTATTTAAAGATAGGGATGTGCTGTGTTCAGTTTTCTAAGTGTGGGGACTAACATAGTACCTGATACATAATAAATCCTTGACAATTATTTCTCACTGACTGACTTAATGGTTGATTCTAAACTCCACAAGAGCACAGACACTTTGTGTTCATGTGCTTTGTTCAATAACACAACCCTTAGGGCCCAGAACACTGCTTGGGACAAAGATCAGAGTCAGGGAGATTTTTCTGACAGTTCAGCATCAAAAATTTACAGAAAGATACTTTCTTACACAATCAGTCTGGAAAGCAATCTAGAATAAAGAAATAACCTCTATCATGCTTTCTTATTAGTGACTTTGCAGATAGATGTTGGGTAGGCAAGTGCTGTATCACAGCCACATGTATAGCTCCTGCACCCAGATTAGGGCAAACTTCAGAACCATGTGTTAGTTTAAAGAATGAAGCCACACAACATCTCCATGGACTTGAGTGTTTCCCACACTCCAGTTATTTGACCATATCTTCACCATTCCTACCATATTTAAATGCCTCTAATATTATTCTCTTAATATTTGATGACAAGAAAAATTGTATCGCTCTTGTATACAGAAAGCCAGTTGTATGTATCCTAACCTAAAGGTAACCGTAAAGTTGAAAAAAACTTTATAACTCTTTTTGTTCTGGCTAAATATAATTGCCTGTCAAAAGCTCAGAGTCTAAGACCTGAAAAGGCTTGGGGATTTAAATAAGTGTTGAAGATACTAGCATTAAACCGGCAATTTCACCTCGATGCAAACTGAAAGAGAATTGAAAAGGGAGCAAGTTTTTCTCAATAAGTGATTCAATGTACATTAATGTCACGCCCATGTACCTCCTAAAATCTCCTCAAATACCAGAAATCTATGTTTCAAGGTCTGAGAAACAGTGGCCAACGAGACCCCTGGGAGCTAGACACGGCCGGATTCGGTAATTAGACAAAACTGGATTCCAGACGCAACTTAACTAAGCTGTGATCCTGGGCAAAGAACCTAAGTCCCCTTTTTCTGTAAAATGGATATAATAGGGCTTATTTTCAGAGGGCTGCTGTGGCAATAAAGAGGCGTTCAGCGTGGTATCTGGGGAATAAGTATACAATAAATATTAGCAATTATCATTATTCCCCTTTCAAAACTGTGACCAGCAGGAGCCTGAAGCCCAGGCTTCAGAAGCGAGTTGTCCAGGGTCTCAGGGTCCTCTTCAGGACCCGAACTCCCCCTGCCCCTCACGGCCTCTCACGAACTCAGACGTTGCCTTCCTTCTTCTGCCAAATCCTCACCTTCCCGCTGCCTGCGGGGCCCATGACCAACTGCGCATACCGAGGCATGTCTGCGATGCCCGGGCCTCCCGCCGCACCGCAACTACCAAGAGTCCGGTGGCCACGCTCCCTTCAGCCTTCGCGTGACGCCCTGAGTTCCGGAAACACGAAGTGCGGACCAATCACAATTCAACTACCGTTTACGCGTTCCGCGCTGCCCCACCTCCGGCTACGGAGCATCCCGCAGGTCAAATCCCGTGTGAAACGCGTCCTGAGAAAACTCCGGAAAGGGAGGGAAGTTGTGTGCGCGTGCAGAGAAGTATTAACAGTTGGCGGAAGTCGGTCGTTGGGAGACTGGCGAAGCCTGCTTGCTGTAGTGGTAACTGTTAACGAATAACGGATAATACGCAGCATTCCTGCGCCGGGTGCTTTAGTCTCTGGTTTGCGTACTGATTTTTGATCTACATGGTGACATTCAAGATTTGCAAATTTGCTGAGGGTTTGGAATAATTAAGTGGAAGGCACCTCCTGTTAAGGGGGCATATATATTTACTTTCCGTGACGCATCCGTTACACAAAACGATTCAAACGTGCAAGCACGCAGTCAACTAAACAACTCCCGCCCCTCCCTCACTTTAACTCCGGGATCGTGGAGCTGCCCTCCCCACTCTCCCGAAGCTATTCGGGCGGTGTCCGGAGCGCACCGGTAGGGGCTACAATCCGGCGCCTGCCTCTTCACCCCCGTTATCGCCCGACCTGACGCACGCGTGCTGATCCTGGAGGGGGAGAGGGGAAAGCTTTTCCCGCACACAGCTCCGGGTCCCGGCACCCGGGACGAAATGCCCGGCCAGGGTCCGGTGTCCGCCTGGACGGACTGCTGCTCTTCCGCAGAGCCGCCTGCAGCGGCCAGGACCGAGAGTGGCGACGGCGGGTGAGGTTGCGGGGCCCTGAGGGGTTAGGGAGAACGGCGAACGGCCCCGGGGCGTCATGCCCCGGGTTGGGAGCTGGCTGCTCCAAGCGACTGGTCCCCTGTGCACTGAAGGGAGAGGCGAGGAGAACCTTTGTTGTGGCCGAGGTGGAAAATATGGAAGCCGACTCATTGTTTAAGGGACTGGCTTCTGAGGAGGACGGTTTGGGGAACTGACAAGGCGGTGACTGCGACAGTCTCCTGCGTGCATCTTTCTGCCCCGAGGGGGCGCTGCGAAACCTGCTGGGGAAATTGCGGTCTGGCCCCCGGACCTCTACAGAAACCCGGGCGAGGGAGGTGGGGAGACTGCGGATAGAGTCCGGAAAATCGGTTCCCTGAGTGTAACATTAGCCACCTTTATGTCAAGTGGGGGTTCATAACCGTCAATGAAACACATGACTGTGAAGATTAGAGGCACTTTGATCCTGACATTCTCTTCACACAGAAGTTCCTTTCTTCATAAACCTACTTTATTTTGAGCAGGTTTTTACTATTATTTCCTGGATGCTGAAGACAATTAGCCGCTGAAGTCACTGCAGAAGGCAGGACCTCCTCATCCCTCTCATCAGTTATTCCCGAGCTGTTCCTCTGCAATTCAGCTCACAGCCAAGGCTCCGGCTGCACTCGTGGCCTTTTTTTTTTTTTTAAGTTTAAAATATGTGGTCTTGTGTTTCTGTTCTGTTCATCAGTGTTTAGTGAAGTGCTGGATGCTAGTATATTAGGAGATGAATGAACTCTTGCTCATTGAATAGATTGAAGGAGGGAGGAAGGAAGGACGGGTGTTATGTCTTAATTTGAGGAAAGATAAAAAGAAGTTGCACAAAATTAAAAACATTGTAAACCAACTTAGTTCTAGTACACCTTAATTACATACAATAAACAAGGTAGTCTTTTCCATAGCCAAATTACTTAATTAAAAATAAAGACAACAAGAATATATTCTGGATAGCACAGAAGCCCAAACTACTTTATTGAAATCAATGTAGGAATTACAGTAGATTAGGAGGGTATAAAAGTAAGACCAAACCTGCCTTAAAGTAAATCCTGTCTAATATGGTAAAAAAAATCTTAATAACTCACTTTGAATAAGCCTGGAGCCATTAGGATATAACCAGAATTACAAGAGAAATTTTGCAAGACATTCTGATGAAAAGTATAAAGCATATGCAATATTGTTCTTTATTCATTTAAAATACTTTTTTAAATGCTTATAAAGCTGTCAGTTATTACCTATTATTTACATGCTTTCTTTTTTTTTTTTTTAACAGATCAGCTGGACATTCTTATTACCAGAATTCCAAAGGTACTGGTGAATAGAGCATATAAAACAGAAAATACCTATAAATAACATGGTTCAGAGAAGCCAATTTTGCTATAACTACTCACACAATGGAGTTTTAAAAATAGGCGTTATTAGTGTCCCTTGGTGAACTTAGTCTTTAAGATTTGTCAGAGAACAATCAGCAGGTTCTTTGTCTCCCTTTAAGATATCTTACATCAAGCATTTTAAAAACAGTATTTCAAAATAGCAATGAATCTGAAAACTGTTTATAACTGATGTTGGTTGAAAAGCACAGAGCACAGCCTGGGGTCTATACACAGACTGATGGGGAAAATTTTTAATTGAAAAACTTCAAAGAATGTAAAATGTTTTTCAGTGCTGCTGTTTTCCTCTCACTCAGAGTAAAGAACAGAACTGCTGGAGTGAGGAGGGTTAGACCAGGTTATGACACCCGTCTCAGAAATATTTATTATCAGGGACACAAAAGATACATTCCTAGATAATTAACCCACATTTATGACTTGAAAAAGGAATTAAAAAAAAATAAACTTTTGAAATGTTCAGTTGGTATTCACTTTATTATTATAGTTTCCAAAATTATGATTTAAGAGCCATAGTAACAATTTCCACATGGCTTTCTATTTGTTGGCAAACTAGCCATTTCTGATTTGCCCAAATCTTAAATAACTAAATTTAAAGTTTAATATGTAAAATTATACTGACCTTTGTTATCATAATATTGAAACAAAACTGTGTTTCATTAATTCACTTTGCTAAGTAAAAACTTTTAACTTAAGATCTGTCTTGCCAGCTTTATTTGTAATAGCTCAAAAGTGGAAACAGCCCAAATGTCCATCTACAGGTGGATGTATAATCAAATTGTGGTTTTTACATGCATGCAATGGAATATAACCCAACAATAAAAAGAAAATATTGTTATACTCACATGGATGGATTTCAGACTAATTTTGTTGAGTTAAAAAGCCAAACAAAACAAAATATCAATATATACTGTACATTTCCATTTATATCAAACCCAAGAAAATACAACTAATTTATAGCGATGTCACAACAGTGGTTGGGGGTGAGGAGGGGAAGAGGGAAGTGTTACAGAGTTATTTCCTGATGAAATTTTGCCAGATATGGCCTTACCCCTAACTGCTACTAAAGTTTATACCCTACATTAAGTTACTGGTCTCAATATGTCTGAAACTGAAAGCTAGTTTCCATTCTCTTGGGAAGATATCTCAACTTTTTAATTTTCATGGAAAGATTATTCTTTCAGTCAACCCACATCAGTATTTAAAACAATTAGATAACTGAAATTATGTAAAAAATAGTTTTGATAAATTTCTGCAGAGTTCTTTCTTTTAACACTGTCTCATTAAGGAATTGTTTGTGTTGTTCTATCTTGAGTCTAATACAGAATAGAATTTTTAAAGTATATACTAAAGTCAAATGAATGATAAACTTTTGTTGTAAATCTTTAAAGTGCAAATCCTGCATGTAAATCCCTGTTTAGTATGATCTGACATACAATAAACTAAAAAAAGTATGAGTTTGTATCTCAGCTGAGTTCAAAATAATGTACTCCCTATTTCATGGTACATATACAGTAAATATATTTATAAATATCTTAGATTTTTGTGCTTTACAACCAAAAGACATAGCATATAGTTTCTTCATATTTAACACTGACTCGTGCTACTACTCCAGGAAAATCATTGACACACGTAAATACATAGATCTTAATAATGAATTGGTTGAACTGATCTTTTTCATGAAATTCACGTAATTCCTTGCCTGTAGATGGAATCAAGGATGGACCCACAACGAATTCCCACATAGTCAAGCTACAAGACTTATGGAAAACACCTCAGATTCAAACAGTTCACATTCCTAAATCAATTACAGATGTGTCCTTTCTAAAGGTATGCTAACTACCTACAAATACTTTATTTAAATACCAATTATCTTTGTATTTATGGCTAAACTTTCTTTTTAAAAGGATTTTATTTATTTTTAGAGTGAGGGGAAGGGAGGGAGAAAAAGAGGGAAACATTGATGAGAGAGAAACATCCGATTGGTTGCCTCTCATATGTGCCCCTGGGGACCGAACCCACAACCCTGGCACGTGCCCTGACCCATAATCCAACTGGCAGTCTTTCACTTTGCAGGATAATGCCCAACCAGCTGAGCCACACCTGGCAGGGCAGGGCAGGGCTGAACTTTTTATTGAAGATAGGCTACTTAGAGCAATGATTTTGAACCTTTTTCATCTCACAGCACAAAAACCAATTACTAAAATTCTGCAGCACACCAAAAAAAAAATACACCTTTTGCCGATCTGACCAAAAAAAAAAAAATAGATATAATTTTGATTCATTCACACCAGACAGCTATTGCTGTGCTGGCCATTGTCAGTTTTGCAGGGGTATCTGAACTTTTGGCATCTCTAAGCCACACTGGAAGAGGAAGATTTGTCTTGGGCCACAAATGCACAAACACTAACAAAAACAAAAATATCTCATAATGTTTTAAGTAAATTTATGATTTTGTGTTGGTCCACATTCATAGGCATCCTGGGCCACATGTGGCCCGTGGGTCATGGGATGGACACCCCTGAAAGGGAAAAGAGGGCAGTGCTCCTGACTAAATAGGCAGGTATTGCAAGTTTTAAATATTCTAGTAGCACACCGGTTGAAAATGGCTGACTCAGAGGGTAAGGCACTGCTGAAGACAAGGTACACCCAGCATTTTTTATAGGGGTCTTTATGTATCTGTTGGGCAAACCATGAATGCATGGATGATTATAGATTCCATATCATAAAGAGTTCTTTCAGGGCTTCAGATCTGATGTAAGACACTTTCAGATCTTTATACAGGAAACTCAGTACCCCAAACATAAAGATGCTTGAGGAAGGTTCCATTCTAGAGATGGAAACCCAACCTCATAAAGATTTTGCTCAAGGACTACAAAAGTAGAAGCAAGCAAGTAAAGAAAATGGCAGTGGGCCTTTAACACAACTGTTGTCCTGTATTACCGATTAAAGATCATAGCTGCCAAAGTATGCTCTCCAGAACAACAGAAAAGAAAGTAGGCTTACTAAAGATTTGTACCAACTGGTAAAGTTTTTCTGGCCAACATTTTGAATTTTCTCTGAATTATTACCTATCCAGTTCAGTAAATCCTGTGTGTGGATATATTGTTTGCATATGTGCATATGTAGTGGAATCTTACATTTCAGGCAAGTGTTAACTTCTAAAATCAGCAAGTACAATGAAGATCTTAGTTAAAATTACTGATATGAGAGACCATCAGACTATCCCTCAGTCTGTCCAACAGTTATTCTTCTGGTGCTAGAAAAGATTTTCTTCAAACTGAGTAGAGTGATTGGGTTGCTTTTAGATCCTACACTACATAGAAGATGAGATGCCCACACTCACTGAGAGGCACATGGGAATTAGGACTCACTGACTAGGGTGGTGAACACACAGTGCAATATACAGATGATGTGTTATACAATTGTACACTTGAAACCTATATGATTTCATTAACCAATGTCACCACAATTAATTGAATTAAAAAAATGCATCACACACACACACACACACACACACACACACGACTCACTGACAGAATAGCAAATTCATGTTTTCTTTATGCTTCTAGGGCAGTGGTTCTCAAACCTCACCGGGCATGTGCATCACTTGGGTGGAAGTGGCAAGCAGAGTTACTTGCACTGTTTAAATGGCTGTTTCTTTCTCTTCTTGGGCAAATTAACAGCTGAATTTGCTTAAGTTGAATGTACAAGTGGTGCAACTCTGTCAAACACTCATCCTTTGGGATAAAAGCCTGTAAGACTTGTTCTCTCTTTTAGCATCCAGACCTCACCATAGGCCAGAAGCACTATCTGTGCAGCATCTCGAAGATCTGTAATGTGAACTGTCTGAGGGTGTTAATGAAGAGGCAGTACATGCATATGATCCAGCACAACTCTCAAAAGCCAGGCAGGTGCACCTTCAATTGGTTTCTTGCTATTTGTTACAAGAAATGAGGGGGTCTCCTAACAGAGGTGATTTGTATGACAGGTGTCCTCACTCATCACAGGAGCCGCCTCAGTTCCCGTCACTCCCAGAGGCATTATTACCCCTGCACGACATGGCGACACCAGCTGGAGAGAGAGGACTCAGGGCCCTCCGACACTGCAGCTGCAGCTGCACCTGCACCAGAAATAATCACACAGCATTCCCTTTGGCGACCAGGGAGAAACAAAGGAGGGTCTGTTTCTTATTGTTTAAAAGAAGGAGAATGTACCTCAATTTTATTTGAAGGGTAGCTAAATATTAAAGCTTGTGATCTCTATTTTCATTTTGCTAAGTTCAAAATAGGTTGGACAAGAAGCACAAAAGGCTTACGATCTCTTTACTGAGCTGAGATATGCCACATCTTTTAGAGCTTATTTTGTGGAATTATCAACATTTCCTGCCCTTTGCAGTGATTCCCACTGAAAGTCAAAGTAATTTCAAACACTTCCAAAAGGAGAATCATATGATTGCTTCTGCACAGGGGAATACTACAAACAAAAAGGGAGGAAAAAAGAGATAAGCTTAATTATTCAACCTGCACAATAGTTAGCTTTGCATTTCAGGAGAATTCAGGGGCTGAAAGGGTCTCTGGTAATGCTGGCAGCTTAATAAAGAGAATTGGTGAAGTTTTCCACATGTATTATGCAGCTGTTACTTTGCTGGTTCCAATTAAGATACTTCTCTTTCTTACAGACTAAAAACTGGATCTATGTCTAAAACAAGATATAAGTCTCTGAAGATTTTTAGAAAACCAGGAAGACTATTAGTGCAATCAGGTAAATGTAGAATTTTAAAAATATGCATTTCTAAACATCTTATGCTTAAAAAATAAACCCCATTTAGATTCATTTCTCTATTACAGAAGACATTGAAAATTTAGAATGTGATTTGCTTTTATTGCTACAATTAAACAGGAAATATATTTCTTCTCTCATTTAAAAGAACAAACTACCCAGAGGAGTAAGATTCAAAGTATTTCTAATTCTAAATAAAGGTATGTCAAGGTCAGAGACTTAGAGAATTTATCAAAACCCAGACTCAATAAACATGACTTTTCCAAGCCATAGCACTTCTTTTATGAGGTAGTGTAATTTTGGGATGGACAACATATTTTGTGTACCATCAGGTAAGTTACAAAAGGCTGTTATCACCAATACCATTTTAATATTCAGCAAACCAGTGGAAGCATGCCAAGCAGGTAACAGAGCAACTCAAACCCAGAGTTGAGAAGAATCAATGTAAAAGATCCTGCTACCCCCAAGACAGGATACCACAAAAGGAAAGACAAAAAGGAAGAACCAAATGCTCAGAAGTATTCCTCAGAATTGATAAAGTGGAAAGAACTAAGTAGAAGTTAAGTAACTTCCTACTTACTACCACAGTGAGTAGGGAAAGGGACAGGAAGTGGGGAAGTTAAGCCTTCTGAACCAGTTTCCGGTTGCTGTCTGATGGCACCGCTCAGCTCTGCTCTGAATACCATGCCAGGCCTATCCAAGCAGTGAAAGGAATGGCAGGGGTGAAGATAAGTCTGGTTCAAAAAGAACAGCTGGAGGAAGCCCCAGATAGGGGAAAGGTCCCTGTGGTCCCCAAGAGGAGAGAGATGAGAAGGAAATTAAAGAACATGGAAAGTGCTGAAACTGTAACTTCCCTCTAACCTTGAGTTCAAAAAGCAAAAGGAAAATAGGACCTAGTAAGAGAATTTGCTATATAATGACTTGGCTAGAATACAATACTAGGTATCTTATTTTAGAAAGTAAGTGATTTGGTGGAAGGGGAAGTAATTAAGTTTTAAAAATTACAGGCAATCTTTTTGCTAAAGGTATAAGGTAGGTCATTTTGAAGGTGGTTCCTATATACATATCTCAACTTTCAGGATAAAATACAATTTTGTTTCCAAAATATAAACTCTTTTTTTTGTTGTCTTCAGTTTCTACAAATGATTTTGAATCATACATGAATGAAGAAAAAAAGGAAGATTTACTAAGTAAGTGTATGCAATCAATGTCAATTGAAGAACAGGGAGAACATCTGATGTTAACTTGATGATCTTGTCTTGTGTATTGATGATATGCCAAAGGTAGAGGTAGAGGTTGTGAATTGTGCCCTCTCTCTACATTTAGGATAATATTGCTATACACCATTAAGTCATTAAGTAATTTTGGTTTGTTCAGACACTTTTACAACAATGTAATTGGTTTGATGTAGTTCCAATGATATTTGTGTAATAAAGTCTGTGTAATATATGCTTTTATTTCTAACCTGATACAATTAAAATTTTTGGCACTTAAACCGAATTTTTTTTTTTTATTCTGACAAATACATTGTGTATTTGTTTTTATGATTACAGTCAGTCCTAAAACACCAACATTAGAATACCTGACAAGTATTTTCTTGATTGGGCTGAGGAAAACTCTTGAAATATCTTAATACGGCAGAGCATTTATTTTTTAAAGGTTTTATTTTAGAGAGAGAAGGGAGAGAGGGAGAGAAACGTCAACATGTGGTTGCCTCTCACGTGCCCTGAGCTGGGGACCTGGCCTGCAAACCCAGGCATGCGCCCTGACGGGGAATCAAACCTACAACCCTTTGGTTTGCAGGCCAGCACTCAATCCACTGAGCCGCACCAGCCAGGGCTCATTTAATAGAGATAACACGGTGGCTTGCAAAGCAGATGCTTAATAAGTACTTGCTGCTTGAATACAACTTAAAAATGGAAATTTTAATTTGCCCTATTTTATGAAAATTGCCACAAAAACACTTGGCCTCCCAAACTAGAGTAAGTTAGGAGTAGATGTACTAATGAGAGGATTCTTTGCATTATTCTTCCCTTCTAAACGTGTTCAAACAATTTTTTTTGTTCAAACTTGAAAAATAGGAATAGGGCAATTTTTTAAAATGTTATTTATTTTTAGAGAGAGGGGAAGGGAGAGAGACAGAGGGAGAGAAACATTGATTTGAAGAGAGATCTTTTGCACGCCCCCAACTGGAGACCCAGCCCAAAACCCATGCATGTGCCCTGACTGGGACTCAAACCAGCAATCTCTCAGTTCACAGGCCGGCACTCAGTCCACTGTGACACCAGCCAGGGCAGTTTAAAGGAGCAGTTTGAAGAATCTCTGCTGATTTACTATGTCCCTATGACAACTGATTTAGAAAGAGAAATCCGAGTCCAGCACTATGATTCAGAAGGTTGTAAGAAATGAGCGCGCTCTGCAAGGGCATCTCGTCCATCTCATCACTTCAATCCTTGTCCACAGTTTTATTTGGTCTCTCATTTTTATGGTTTTTAAAAATCAAAACAGTTTATCGAGAAAGTATAAATGAAAAGTAACTTTATTACTGGAGAAGAGAAAAATGTATACAAGAAAGTCCAGATTCCTTTTCCTCATGCACTACTTTTATAATAAAGTCCTAAATATCAACTTTGAAGGTATTTACAAGGATAAATTTTTCTTAACGTGACCATTTACTGTGTGGTGGACATTTTTTTCATAGAAATCATATACTTAAACTAAATATTCTTAATAGTTTACAAGAAGCTTAGAACATTGTATTAACAGAAGATGATGTATTTTACTGCAAAATATTATAAAAGTAATACAATTTTGTGGCTCTTAAATGTTTAATTACTTGATTTGAACAGGGAATTAAAAAAAAACAAAACAAAAATCAAGACAGGCCTGGCTTTAGGATTTTTTGTATTCAATTCGTTCTACTTTCACATCATCTCCAATTAGCTGATACACATAAGTGACAACTGTGGAAGCCTGGATATCCATCAACACAAATGAAGGAATAATGTTTCTGGAAGAAAATATAAATAATGTCAGTGTTTTATACTAAAAAGCCACAGCACTATAAATTTCAATTTAAAATGATTTGGATTCAAAGAAAAATCTGGTTGTTACATATTAAAAATAATAATCACCAAAAAGGCTATAATTATTTAAGTGGTTGCATTTCTTTTATGAAATATCACACATGCAATTATTAAGTTTATAAAACCCCCAAATTCCCAAATTACATACTACTCACGTTTCCAAGGCATTATACGCTCCAGTGGCAGAACCTGGGTTAATGTAGAATTTATTTTCATGCTCAAATGCTTCAAATTTGTGTGTATGTCCTGAGATAAGAATGTCCACATCAAACTGCCTCTGCAACAGGGCTAAGCTGGCCATATCTCCCCATGGAATAACTTGGTGTCCATGGATCAACCCAATTTTGAACTGCCCAACAGTCACAACTTTCTGTTCTGGATAATTCAGATTCTAAAATACAAAATTGACGTAAGAAAAATGTTTTAGAGATACCAATGTTTAAAAAACCTGCTTTTATTTATTTTTCTAAAATCCCTACCTGAGGATAAGCTTATTGATTTTAGAGGTAGAGGAAGGGAAAGAGAGAGAAACATTGATGTGAGAGAGGAATGTGGATCAGCTGCCTCCTATACACACTCCAGCTGGGGATCGAAGCCACACCCTAGGTATGTGCCATAACCCGGATCAAACCCCCCCTAAGTATGTGCCCTGACCTGGATTGAACCAAGAGCCTCTTGGTATACAGGATAATGTTCCAACTAACTGAGCCACCAGACCAGGGTGGAAAAAAATAACAAAAACCTGCTTTTAAATATTTGATCTCATGGATTTTTTGGTCCACAAACAACATACTGATGAAGTATCTGATTTCTTCTCAGTCTCTAAGGCTGTAACTATGCTCAGAACATAACTGCAATTTCCATTCAATTCCTTCTTGTGTTTATTTTTATAGAATGTGGCTTCTTTTGAGCATGCTGTAGAAGATGATAATTCCCCCAAATTTGTGAGTTCCTCTACCTAAGAATCCTAGGCATATGACCTGTAAGCTAGGGTGTGTTTAAATTATACCACAGGCTTCAAATAGTTAAATGGATGGCTGAAAATGATGATAGTTAAAACACACAGTACTCTTAATATCAGGCACTATTCTAAGGGCTTTATAAATATCAAGCTACTGAATACTTACAAATAATCCTAAGAGGAATGTTCTACTCTGACCCCCATTTCATGTATGGAAAAAACTGAGGCACAGAAAGGTTAAAATAATCTGCCAAGGTCACACATTAGTAAGTAGTTGAGCCAATATCCAAACCCTGGTACATGGTTCCAGGGTCTGTGAATTTAGCAAATTTGTAGCAAAAAGTTGAATTTTTTCAAAAAGTTGAACACAAACCCCTAATATTTTTAACATACCAGACCTATATTCTAAATGTTGACAAGAAGTTTGCCCCTTCCCTGCTCATACTCGTGCCTTTCATCTCTGTGCCATGTCTAGTTAACCCAAACTCTTTTTAAAATCTACTGGGGAAAAAACCTCCCAAAACTATGGTCATTCAGTTTGGTATAAAGGAGCCCCATTAAAAAGCACCAATGAAGTTAAATAACTTATGAAAAAATTTATATTTCCAGAAACACTAAATAAACATTTCATACTAGTATCAAATGTATCACTTTAAATCATACAGTGTTAGTAACTAGCAGGGGTCTTAAAAGTCGTCTATTCCAATCATATTCACATAGAAGGAAACTAGGGCCAGAAAGAGGATGTAACTTGCCTAAAATCTTATTTTTAATTATTGAGGAAATTTGGAACCCCAGAACTTATTTCTTTTTTAAAATCAGGTTTACTGAGGTATAACTTACATACAGTAAAACTGTTCTTTTTAGTGTACAATTCAAGGGGTTCTGACAAATGCATAGTCTTGTAAGCACCACCACAATCAAGACATAGAACAGTTAGTTCTATGACTTCCTCAAAACTTCATCTCCCTTTAGTTAACCCTTTCAACAGAAAGTCACAGCAGGGTTTTCAAGAGATTAGTGATGTGATCTCCATGTTAAAAGAGTCACTCCTGATTGCTAGTTGGAGAACAAGGGGGTGGGGCAGAATCAGGAAGTTGGAATAAAGGAGTGATATGGTGTTTGGAACATGGTAGTATAGGTGGTAGCAAAAAGTTCATAACAAAGAATTTATAAAGTAAATGACAGTACTACAAAAAATAGTGACAAAACCATTTTGTATAGATTCAGTTAGAACAAGTAATATGTTTATTAAGCAGTCTAAAATCAGTGATTTTTAAACACGAAGGGGTATGTATAATGATTTTACATTTGGGAAATAAAAAAGGACTTTTAACAGTTGAGAAACTGGTCTAAACGATAAGACTTTATATGTGAGAATCAAGAAAAGGAAATAATGGGCCCTGGCTGGTGTGGCTCAGTGGACTGAGCACCAGGCCTGCGAATCAAAAGGTCACCAGTTCAATTCCCAGTCAGGACACATGCCTGGGTTGTGGGCCATGTCACCAGTTGGGGACTTGTGAGAGGCAACCAATGTTTCTCTCCCTCTCTTCCTCCCTTCCTTCCCCTCTCTCTAAAAATAAATAAAGTCTTAAAAAAAAAAAAAAAAGAAAAAAGGAAATATTGGGAAGGAAAGGGATATACATCACCTCATCGAAGTCTCCTCGCACAATATGAACGTCACCAGCCAGAGTCTTGAGATAGTCATAGCTCTCTTTGGTGCAAAGATTTCCAGTGCAGAGAATGTGCTGAATCTTTCCTGGTACCAGCAGTTTTTTGAACTTAGCCGGCAAACTGTTGCACCGGTGTGGGATGTGTAGGTCTCCTAATACCAACACCAACTTTAAAGTGCCAAGGTGAGACAAAGTGTAATGTTAAGCATGATGTCAAAACAAGATACTCTATTCTAATAACTCCTATTTTAAATTAATCAGATTCCAGAATATGAAAGAGCAGAAGTTATTCCTTATCATGACCATTTAAACAAATATACATATCACATATATATAAATGTACTCTGTTCTAAATCAATCTTTTTTAATTTGATCACAAACAACGATGCTACACAATACATATCATTCTATTGAACAAGAATAAAATCAAACTTTCTAAAGTGATTCATTTACAGACCTATAAATTACACTGAATAACAAAACTGCCAAATGAAAAATATATTACTAGGCCCTATGGAATCTGGAATTTTCGAAGGCTAATATGGTAACTCATATTTCTGCAGTTATAATGTAAAATAATATGTATTGATTCCAGGCACATTAATAAAGATAACTGTGAGAAATGTAATAATAGAGAAAAAAGTTAATTCTATACTTTATGTTTACTAGGCTGGTAACTATTTTAAGGAACATTATCCAAAATTTGCAATATTTGCTACTTAAAACTATTAGCTACATATTACAGAGGAATTAAAAACAACC